TGACGCTAAATATGAAGTTTTTGTTCAAATTATTTATAAAAAATTTTAGATTCGAAAAGTTGACTGCAATCATGTGCGGTACTTATGTGAGCTGTTAGATTATCTTTGCGACCATATGTCTTTTGACAAATTTCACGTTCGAAGGGTTAGCTCCAATCATACTGTATTTATGTATTTATAGAGTTTATCCTTGGATACAAATGATTCGAGACAAATCTTAGATTCAAAAGGTTTACTATGTTCATGTACTGATATTTATGGAGGTTACTCATGTCTCACAATATATTAGGCAAAATTATTGAGCCAAATTGTAACTGATTCAGGAGCTCTTTTTATCGACCACCGATGATGTTTAATCATCTATGTACACGAAAATTAGTCATTGCGAAAGTAAAGTTAAGGGATAATTTTGTATCTCGGTCTTAATTAAAAGGATAATCTATGTCCATAATGACCAGAGGAAATTAGTGAAATGTAAGCAGATAAATAGAATATTGGAAAATCAGTTTCATATCGATAATAAAAAAAATATATTGAAAGCCAAGACGTGTTTTTTAATGTAAATTTATTATTTTTTATATAAATTCATTTAGGAAAAATGGGGAGCAGCTTTTCGCAGTTATGACAGAATCAATAACAGCTTAAGAACTCTAAAATTTTTAACAATATTGAAGAAAATTAGTGTCAAAACTTTTCAAACATTAAAATACTCATGTAAATCCGAATTGAATGCATTCAAACATTTTTTAAACAATCGAATTCTTTAAAGGTTCGCTGTGATCTTACTGCATTCACTAGATTTACTGCATTTTTGTGAGTTTAAAATATACTCTGATATTCAAATGTTTTATGAAAGATCTCAAGTTCGAAAGGTTTGTTTTGACCATGAACTGCATTCATGTGAAATTTTAAGTGATATTTCAGTCCTAATTTTTTGTGATAAACTTCACATGAAAAAGTTTACTGACATCATGTGCCCAATTACGTTACACTTAAAAATTTGCTCCAATCGTGTACTATCAGGATGTCTTTTAAGTATATTCTTGTCACCAAATGATTTGTGACAAATGCCACATTCAAAGAGTTTTCTATGGTTATGTACTGTATTAATGTGCTTTTTCAGGTAACTCTTGCATCCAAATAATTTGTGACAAATGTCACGTTCAAAGGGTTTGTTATGAGCATGTACTGCACTTACATGCATTTTGAGATCACTTGTTCAAATGTTATGTGACAAATCACACATTCGAAAGGTTTGATACAATCATGTACTGCATTGATGTGACGTTTGAGGTCCTTTTTTCGTCCAAATGATTTCTGACAAATCTCACATTCAAATGCTCTTTATGTTCTTGTGCACCGAATTAGTATATTTTTTTAGACTTGCTTTAAATTTATAAATTTTTTGATACAATTTATGCTGACCACATAATTCGATTTTGGTTATTTTTGCAAACATTTCCACCTCCTTAAATTCATCAATCTTTAATCGTGACCTTTCTTGAAATTGACTGTTGTCATTATTTTCATTCACAGAAACAGTTTTAATTTCGTTATCTACTTTCATAATAGGTAGATAACTCAGATACTCAGTTTTGCAGATGGTGGTCGATAAAAACTCCATCTCTGGTTTAACATCTTTGCACTCAAAACCAATAAGTATATCTCCATTCATGCTATTGATCTGACTTTCGTTTTCTATTTTCACGATAGTTTGCAAATTTTGATATTTAAATTTTGTAGATTGTTGTTGAAAAAGTCTTCAGTTCAAGTTTAACATCTTTGCATTCAAGTTCTGTGGATAGATTTTCATGTAACTGTTCAGGTAACGCCATAAGCTCATACATGTGATTTGCCTAAAATTGAAATTGTGTAATACTTTTTCATAGTTTGACAGAATATAACTCAAGTTATTGTACTCACTGAATCATAAAACGTGAATGTTTCAAAGTTTTTGTCTTTACAAGAATCCACCGAATCGAAAATATAATCATAACCTGCATCTGGCCAAGTATGATTTGTCTCTTTCTTCACCCTGAAGAATAATAAAGTTTGATGATTGATCAAGTTTCAAAAAATATATTGACATCAACAAAAAAAAGTAATATCTAACCGTGTTCTCTTTGCTTTCCATTACTGGATTGATTATAATACGCTTTTTCTGAATTACCGCGATTTACAATTAGAGAATATTGGAGGTTAAACGCTTTGCATATCCAACATTATACCTCGAATTCACGAATTTGTAAATACTTGCTTAATGTCGACATTTAGCTTCTGAAGCGACTGTGCGTTTTATTAGTATATTAGGGAGATGATCCCAAGATTGTGCTAGCTCTACAGCGATTCTTTCCCCTTCTACCGTCAATTGGCCAAACGCAAAATTTTTTTCATAGAATTTGTGTACAACATAAACTTGATTAAATTAAACTCTTCGCTACCTATAATGTTAGTGATTATCAAATAATTAAAAAACGATAATCTAAGGTCATTCACTCTCTTCTTACTAAAATAAATTCATTCGTTTATTTAAGTATTTATTAAAATATTTTTTAAAATGTACACTGGCAAGGTTTCTTCGATTCGTTCGGTAAGAAACAAAATTTTATTTATGCGACAAGCAGTTAACACATACCGGACTTGATTTTTGAAAATGTTGCGAAGCTTTACTAACTAAGTCCATGTGCGAAATTGATTTTTTAAACGTTTTGTAATGTCGCCTCTAGATAGGCCACAAAAACTTCAAACTTCTAAAACCTTCAAAACCGCCTGCCTATAGGCAGCCCGCTAGACATGCAACAAGCCGCGAGCTATTCGGGACTTTCCGGTCAGCTCAGAGTGTCGCGAGAAAAACCTCACACTTTTACGACCGCCATAAATCCTTCAACGGTTATAACGAAAAAAGCCACATCGAACGATCGAAAGAACGAATGTTCGAGAATCTAAAACACATGGCAATTATTTTTATTTTACATAGCCAAGGAATGAAGCATTCTAAACAAATTAATAAACAATGTTTTACCCCGAACCGGTCTCAGCCAAGACCGCCGTAACTCTTCGGTAACATATTTCTTTTCCACATATGCATTCCCACGTCTCCCCCAATAAACAATAAACTAGTAAATAACCAAAGCAACAACAAACGGCCAATGTTAGTGAGACGCGCAGCGGGACACCCGAACTAACAACGAAAGCTAAGTATACATTTACTATAATAATAATAAAACCATGAACAGCTCAAATTAATAACTATCATTTGCAACAATATTAATGTAAGTACACTGTTCGAGAACCTTCGATCGCCGGTTGGTGAATTGGAAGAGGACAGAGAGACAAAAATCTCGGCATACGCCGTCGTACGACAAATTAGACCTATCTCAGCTCTCAAAGGGCAATAAAATCACAGCCGCCGAAAGGCAGCGTAGACCGAGTCACCAAAAAACTTAGACAACTCGGCCGATGTGTGCTCCAGCAGTCTACCGAGACAGACGTTCTCTAAAACCGCGCTCCGCGACTTCAAGTATAAATGCTCTTAGTGAGTGATAAGTGTAGCTCTCTCTGTCCAGTCCCAATTTACTAACGGTGGTCCGGTTCGCAGTTGCATTACAACGAATACAACAATGTAAGTCAATTAATATGTTTTATCAATAAATTCTCTCTTCTACTATACATTCCACTCTACTCACTGCTATCTACCTACAATATGCTACGCTATACTTGATAATATTATCCTAATGTAATCGCTGCCGCTCCGGCGATGAACGAGCAATCGTTTCGCTGGGTCGAACGTGACCCTCTCTCCCACGTATACACGTCGAACGCAAGCCGCCGATCCTCAGCCGACCTCTCGCGCTACGTCTCCTCGTGGACGCGGTGCGAGAAAAGGCTAGAATCGCAATCCAAGGCCACGCGAACCTTCTGTTCGCAACACATAGTCCCTTCCGGACGTTACAGTTTTTATAGAATCCACTAGAATCCTGTGTTATCAAATACTTATGTAAATATTTATATATTTTTTTAATGTATCCCGAAGTTTTAACTGAATTTTGATAACATATACTGAAACTGCGAATATAAATTTCGACGTTGTGATCTTTTTATGTATTAAATTAAATCATGTATTTATAAATATGTATAAATGTATAAATATCATATGACTATATTATAATATCAGTTCTTTTTTGAATAATTTTATACCAATAAGAATCATAAATTTTGAAAGTTTAAACATTTTAATATGTGTTCAGTGTATGCAAATCTATATAATCATAGAACGAATCATTGTTCAATTTCTAACATCAACACAACAATCTACTGAATCATGAAGACATCACACTTGTAGTACAATGCTAAACACAACAAAATAGACTGTCATAACTGTAGCATATACTAATAATCGTTGTTCCGATGACTACTGAAATTTTCTAGTGCTTTTCTCAAGAAAAAATGTCCGTGCGACCTTGTACAACTTCTTCGTAGCTATAAGATTAAACGAAAGATACTACTCTAGATTTTAAAAATTTATTTATAATTAATATATTTAAAGTAATTCAATACTAACAAGCGTTTGTCTGAGATTTGAATTATCGATCACTTTATAAGATTCTTAGACTTAGCTTTTCATTTAGTGCTGAATAGGATTAAAAGTTTAAAATGACATTGCAATTGATCTATAAAATTTTCTTTTAGGAATTTTTTAAAGGTATACAAATGAAAATTTAATCAAAAGTCAACCTTTTCTTTTCAGAACTATTTTTTATTAACAAAAATTATTAGTAACACATTGCCACATCGAATCATATTAATAATATCAATTGTTTCAATGTTTATTGTGATTTTAATTTATAAATTAATAACATCATCGGTACTGCTTTACAGTTTACATCATGAATAAGTTTGGAATAAGGTAAGTACAAACTTTTTCAAATAACTCGATGATTTCAAATAATTTCCGAACATTGACTCATTGTAAATAGCGCACGTAAGATGGATCTAACTTATTATTTACATGTGATACATTCGCCGTCCCAGTCAAGATCGGTGAGATCTGCGTTATTTTCTTTGAGTAATTCGAACACTTGCTTACGATATAAGTGATCTTCCGATTCACGATGAGTGTGATCATTTTTATCCCATGGACTCCTACGATAATGTGAGACGTAATATAGGTTTATCGCAGGACTGTAACCATTATCATCTTCAATATTAACATCGGCTTTATACTGTATGAGAAGTTTAATCATATTCAAATCGGCACATGTTAAATCACTTGCCACACAGATAAAATTCAAAGGTGACAAAGAATTGAAACAACAAACATTTGGATCCGCCCCTTTTTTCAATAGAACTTCAACTTTTTCCGTTTCTCGTTCAAAAAGAGGATAGTACAATGGAGTCGTGCCATTTTTATTTACTTTATTCAAATCCATTCCGTATTTTATCAACAATTCAATTACTTCGATAATTTTTGTATTCAGTTCGTTTTGAAGGAGAACGTCCAGTACTGTATCGCCTCCACGACCAGAAAGGGTAAAATCGGCGTTTCCATCCAGCAATAATTTTAAAGCTTCCTTACGCAATTCATAATCTTCTTTATAATGAAATAGGTTTATCATAGGAGTATTTCCAACTGGGCTCTTTATAGAATCTGAATAGTGTATGAAATGTTCATCATCTTCTTTTTTATTAACATCGGCTTTGAACTTAATAAGAAGTCGAATCATTTTCAAATCGACGTCTGTTAATTTTGGCAAGTTACATATTCTATTCAAAGGTGTCGTGCGTTCATCGTCGAACTGATCCGAATCTATACCAGTTTTCAGAAGAAGTTCAACAATTTCTAAAGCTCTGAAATGAACAGCTAAATGTAGAGGAGACTCATTTGGAAAACTGTAAAAACTTAAACCATTCGAATTTTTAATTAACATATCAATCTGTTCAATCAATTTGGAATTTTCTTGGTTGTCTAAGTCTTTTTTTGTCTTGTAATTATTTGGAACTTCTGCGTTATTTTCTAGCAGTAATTTCAACATGTCCAAGCGATATGTATTATAGTCATGATCATGCTGAAATAAATTCATCATTGGACTATTACCGTATTTATCTTTTAAGTTGAGATCAGCTTTGTACCGGATGAGAAGTCGAGCGATATCAAATTGTTTATGCCATAAACTTGGACGATAACAAACTAGATGTATGGGTGACATGCCTTCTTCATTGACAATATTCGGATCAGTTCCATTTTTTAACAATGATTCTACGATTTCCAACTTCTCACACTCCACGGCATCATGCAGTGATTCTGGATTGAACATCTCGATACTTTGTTCCACTTAGCACAAACACTGAAATGATACTGATCTCCGAAATATTCCAAGCAGTAGATGAGAGGCTCACTATTTATTTACTTTATCAGCGCGCAAAATTTAGTGCAAATCCGAGAATTCTGCCTCGTTGACGCTCTTGTTCAAAAGTCGTGTTTCATCGGCTGCCACGTTATCTCACTTCGTTTAATTTAATAACTGTTTAGAGTTGAAAAAATTATAATTCGATGAAACTACTCAAAAATAATAGTATATTAGTGCTTTATAGGGCAGATAAATCCGAAAAATCTCAGGATATAACTAGCTCCAAGAGTTTTTTTTTCGCGACTCGCATACACAGCGACAGCGGTGGTTGTTTATGTTGCACGAATGTCAACCACTCCAGTTGTCTATATTTATGACGACGTGCGGGAAATGAAACTTAAGGCTTTTTTCTAATTCATTTTTTTAATCTTGAACTTAAGCTTGAAATATAAAATAGAAAGAAACCATCAAGATTGGGGCAGCCACGAACTAAGAAATTTTCACAATTACTGATTGATATCGTAACTAGAGCTCGATCATTTCTTGCAATTATTAAAAAATAACTTGGTTTCTGTATATATCGGAATGGATTATTTCTGTCACTTAGTATCGACTGTTCCATCCGACGTTCAGTTCAATAATTAATTAAAAGTGGCATTCAGACAACAATCTTAGACCTGAATATTGGAGCATGTTTTCTTCTAACTCAAGATCTACAAAAGATTGAATTTTTAAATTGGTACTAATGAATTTTTCGATTGAAATAACAGTAAATTAATGTTTTGAGGCGACGTTTTCATTTAGCATAAAGATCGCACTTTTATATTACAATTTTTTTCACTAAAAGAAGTAAATAAAACATTTAAGTTTTTTTTGCTTACATTATAAGTATGTGTTTGATTATATTTAAACAGTTTTGTCGGGTACAATACCGAATAATTTAGTGTTTATTAAAATTTGAAAGCGATCAACTAAATGAAGTCTAATATCGTCTACAAATAGACTACAAAATTCAAAATTTTAAAAAACCAACGAAGCGCCTTAGCCTACGCAAACCAGCAACACACGCAGCCAGTCGCTCAATTTTGAGCGGGCTTGTTGAACTGTTCGGATCATCGGCCAGAATTTCACACCTTTTTTTACGATCGCTATAAAAAGTAGACAGTCCTGTAATTCCAAGAATTTTCATTAGTCCATCTTGCTACTTTTCGAATGTTCGATAATTTAGCAGAACTTGTGTAGAAATATTTATTATTAAACAAAAACAAAATATAACCTAGTATAAAACGAGAATTATGTCTGACGCCTGACTCAATAAATAAGAATCAATATGGAACAATCTCCTACTACTCACTCCCTTTTCAAATCACCTTTTCTTTCTAAAAAGAATTCGAATATTTGAACGTCCGTTGAAGAAACAGAGAAAAACTATCATTTCGCCGCTGACAAAAAATCGATTTAATCTAAGCTCTCAGAAATCAATAAAAATTTTAGCACCAAAACTCAAGCAAGGGTTGTCTCCTCGAGACAGGGATTTCTCAGCTTATTCGTGCTTCAGCAGCCTAACAGTGAAATTCCCTTTTAATAAAGTGCCTAGTATTCTCTGTCTTTTCCCTGGCCATCCAGCCGAGATTCCACTGTGCAATTGAAACCACTCAAGATATAATTAATGCTGTTAGTATAAATACTTGTCTATTCTAATAAATAACTTGTCTCTTCTTTTTCTTTCTACCTTGAATACATTTGTACACATTTTCCTAATTTAATCACTGCCGACCTGGCAATGAACAAGCAACCGTTTTGTCGAGGCGAAAGTGACCCCGCAACACACCCGCCACATCAACGAACGCAAGTCGCCAGTCTCAGCTGACTTCTCGTGTCTCGTCCCCTCAATGGACGAAGCACAAGAAAGAGCTAAAATTATCCAAAGCTATGTGGACATTTAGTCCACAAAAATTAAGTCCCTTCCGGATATTACAAAAGCGGGTGTCATGATACCTTGAAAAGTACTGCTGATGAATCGGTTCTTTTTTGGGAATCCCAAAGCATTTCACAAACTTTTAATGCTAGCTTAGAATTTCATGGAAAAAATTTATTTGTTAATTTCAGAAGAGTTTTGATGTGCTTACAAGTGCTGCCCGATTAAGTCTCTTTTTAGACATCTGCCTTCAAATATTATTAAATAATTGACTATTCAGTATTTTGGTGTTTTGCGATAAAAATTCACAATTATAATTACATAATTTATAACTAGTAAGTAATTTAAGTTGATAAAAAAATATGGAAAATTATTAATTTTTAAATCAGTTTGAGAGAATTTTTCCTTCAAACAATAAATTTTGCAATGAATTGGTATTTCCATAAATAAATTATTATTGATTACATATAGTAAAAAAAGATACTCTCGCCGAGATGAAATATGACAATTTTTGGAGGAGTTCGACATCTTCAAGAAATTTCACGTTTACCGCTATATACATAGGATAATAATGAGATTGGCCAGAATTTGAAAGCAATAAAAATTTCTCGCGAAAAATTTCACATTTACAACTGGATATGGATTTTGTTGTTGAATATAGAAAGACGATTATACTAGAATGATAATTATACTTGGCTTATCTGCAGTTATTTCCAAAAAGAATTTATAAATTACAAGTTCAAAATTACTAATACGAATTTTGTTGTCTTCATAAGGTATACAAATAAAAATTTAATCCATATTCACGGCTACTTTTCAGTTAATTTTTATTAACAAAAGTTATTTTAGTAACAGATTGCCGCTGTCAGAGCATCGGTCGATTCGAAACATATTAATATCGATAAATAAACTTGTGTGATAACAAAAATATGTAATTTATAAACTCATTTCCAATGATTTGCCACTGAAAATTTGTTTTACACTCATAATACACGATTACAGACTATTGTTTCAATTTTTATTTCACTTTGAACTTTTGGTACTAAGGTAAAACAAAATAACTTAGTGAAAATCGACTTATAAGTAAGATCGATTTGATTCATGTTCAAGTGAATCATTCACCGTACCAGTCAAGACCGGTTAGATCGGCGTTATTTTCTTTGAGTAATTCAAACACTTGCATACGATATACTTGATCATTCGTATTAAAATCATTAGTATTCGGCCTTGCATTCCTGCGATTCCGTGGGACGGAAAATAAGTTTATCACAGCACTATTATCATTTTCATCTTTGATGTTAACGTCGGCTTTGTACTGTATGAGAAGTTTTATCATGTCCACATCGGAATGCGTTAATTCATTTTCAACGCAGATGAAGTTCAGAGGTGTCCAAGAAAGGAAACAACGAACATTTGGGTCTGCCCCTTTTTTCAATAGGAATTCTACTTTTTCTGGCTCTCTTTCAATAAGAGGATAGTATATTGGAGTCATACCATTTATTTTGTTTACCTTATTCAAATCCATTCCGTATTTTATCAACAATTCAATTATTTCGATTATATTTGTATTCAATTCTTTTTGAAGAAGAACGTCCAGTATTGTACGGCCTCCGCGACCAGAAAGAGTAAAATCGGCGTTTCCATCCAGCAATAATTTTAAAGCTTCCTTACGTAGTTCATAGTCTTGCTTACGATAAAATAGGTTTATCATAGGAGTGTTTCCGACTGGAAACTCTGTTTCTGAATCTGATTCAAAATCTGAATAGTACTCCATTTCTTCGCCGTCATCGTCGTCTTCTTCTACATCGTAACCTTTTGCATTGACATCGGCTCTATACTGAATAAGAAGTCGAATCATTTTTATATCGACGTCTGTTAATTTTGGCAAGTTACATATTCTATTCAAAGGTGTCGTGCTTTCATCGTCGAACTGATCCGAATCTATGCCAGTTTTCAGAAGAAGTTCAACAGTTTCTAAAGCTCTGAAATGAACAGCTAAATGTAGAGGAGACTCATTTGGAAAACTGTAAAAACTTAAACCATTCGAATTTTTAATTAACATATCAATCTGTTCGATCAATTTGGAATTTTTTTGGTTGTCTAAGTCTTTTTTTGTCTTGTAATTATTTGGAACTTCTGCGTTATTTTCTAGCAGTAATTTCAACATGTCTAAGCGATATGTATTATAGTCATGATCATGCTGAAATAAATTCATCATTGGACTATTACCATATTTATCTTTTAAGTTGAGATCAGCTTTGTACCGGATGAGAATTTGAGCAATATCCAACTGCTTATTCGACAAACTTGGACGGTAACAAACTAGATGTATAGGTGACATGCCTTCTTCATTGACAATATTCGGATTAGTTCCATTTTTTAACAATGATTCTACGACTTCCAACTTCTCACACTCCACGGCATCATGCAGTGATTCTGGATTGAACATCTCGAAACTTTGTTCCACTCAGCACAAACACTGAAATGATACTGATCTCCGAAATATTCCAAGCAGTAGATGAGAGGCTCACTATTTATTTACTTTATCAGCGCGCAAAATTTAGTGCAAATCCGAGAAGTCTACCTCGTTGACGCTCTTGTTCAAAAGTCGTGTTTCATCGGCTGCTATGTTATCTCACTTCGCTTGTTTAAAAACTATCGAGAATTGGAACACATGAATCGTACAATGCAACTTACAAGTTAAGTGTGTTTTTCTTATATTTCATACATAAAATTCTTTATATCTTTAACGATTTCGCCATTAGGTTAATCATTAAATAAAAAAAATTCATATTTCTAAACAATAAATTTTGCAGTCAAGTACTTTTTTGGATGAAGTTAATTAGCAAAAAGTTGTATGAATCAAGTCAAACGTGGTCTAAACGATACTGAATAATTTTTTTTTTTTAAATTTGTCCAAAATTTTTCGTAATTTATTTAAAACAATATTTTTAATGAAAATCTTTTAGTGACGATTACTAAGAATGTATGAAACTATTTTCAGTAAGAAATGATCATTGACCATTAGGATCAGGGAACTTTCGATGTGCCGATGGTACGTACGTAAAGGAGAAAAAAACGTGAGAAAAGTGAAACTGTTCTATATATGAGCTATAGCGTTTGCGCAGAGCATCATTTTTGAGATTTTATGCGGTAATGAAAGACACACGTTGTACTTTCGAATCGTTGAGCTGATGAGTTTTCATTTGGTGTGAACACATGTAGTATCTTCTATACTCTAACCTGCGGCTCTTTACTTCCATAAACGAGTGAGTACCTTCCTTTTTTTTAAGATCGCATTTTTCATAAAACAATGCACTCACGTTTGAGGCAATCGTCGAATAAAAAAACATCCGAAATAGAAAAATTACTAATCGATAACGAATTCTGCATTTATCGACAGAATTGGTTTGAGTGTATTCGAGTGATCGTTGCGGAGCATGTCTGTGTAAATGCGCAGGAACAGTGCGCGCGAACTATTTGAAAACTGGCTTAAATACTCGAAGCGACATTAACGCTAAAACGAAACTAATTCGAAACGAACGACGCTAAAGCGAAATTAATTTTTTTATTATTTCTTCGGATTTAGACACGGAGGACTTTAGAGAATGAGGAATTGATGCTTAAATTTTGTTAAAAACAAACATTTTATAAGAGCTTCAATTTCAGTCTAAAGTAAATAGCTACATTTTTTGATAATCAAAATACATACTAGTACTATTATGAGATTTACTATTTGATAAATTTAAGATTTTAAAAATATTAGAAAAAATGTATAATGTGTGATGAGTATTTTTTTGTAACAATAAATTTGAAGTATCCAAATTGTTGAATACTTTCTTTTCGTCTCTGAAAAATGAAGAAGTTTTTTATAAAATATTTGTATCAGTTCACAAGTATATTATTTTATTCGTCATCATTTACATTTGCATTTCACATCATCATTTGCATTTGATTAATAATTAAAATGTTAATTCATAAACATTAAAATTCTCAAGAGATAGATTCATTTGTCCAACTTGACTATTTATGTAATGTCTTACAGTGCCCATGACTGATTTAAACCTGTCGTTAAACATTTGAACAATTGGGCAAGTCTGCCATGTCGGACAAGTCTCGTCGAAGCACAAGAAAGCGAAACATACATAGATCAGCGTATTTAAAAAATTTGAAAAGTATTCACGACCCCGATGAACGCATCGATTGTATTCGACAAATTCTACTAAGCGATGGCGAGCTACCTTCAATCGAAAAAATCCACATCATCAACAGCATAACATTAAACATGGTCAAAGCTATAGAAAAAGTCGAACCGAACGACTCCGAGCGGTTGAGCGAAGGCGAAATCGACAGCGTCGGCGATGACAACTCGAAGCAGAGCTCGCCCGGGCCCGATTCGGACGATGTTTTTCTCTCGCGGCCGTCTTCATCCGCACCCGATTCGGACGGCGAATCTCAAAAGTCCTTCCGACCGAACTCAACCGCGCCCGCCGTGGACGTCGAATTTCAACTGACCAATCACGTATTGATGAAAAATCCAACGTGCACCGTGCGGTACAACGGTTACGGCGCGCACGAGTACGAGCCCCACGTGGCCGAGTTCCCGGTGAACAACGATAATACGCTCGCTATAATGCTGGGCTTCGTCTCTTTCGAGCCTCCGCCGTGCCCACCGAATCAGCTGTGCCGCCTCAAGCAGAAGCAAAGGGTGCGCCAAGGCATCGAGGTCGCGTACTTGGACATGTACAGGGAGACCCTGGACGCTCTGTGCGAGATGCAGCACAAGGTGAGCCAGTACTACTTCAACCAGACGTCGGGGTGTCTGCTGTTTCAGAACCTCGACGTGCAGGCCTGGATCAAGCGGGACGTCCTCGACGGCGAGCCGAGGCTGTTTCTTGAGAACATCGATCCCCAAATCAGGCTACGCAAGAGGATAGCCATGACGCGCAACGACTACGCTCAGCTGTGCCGACTGTATCCGACACTCATTCAGGACTATCAAAAGTTAACTAAGCAGCGACGAGGCCGCGTGAAAAGAGTGAAAAGAGCTTCGTAAAATGTATCATAAAATTATCAGTATTATCGAATCGTTTTGTCTAGAATTTTAAGATCTCGAGATCGCTATAAATAAGTTATTGACCGATTATTTTTCAATAATCGTATTGCAAACTTTTAAACTGTTGCGTACAAAATTTTATTGTAAAATAAGTCAAGCAATAATTTGATGTTATATTTTAAATTGGATTTTCGCTTTCGTTAGACGTTTCGAAGTTTTGTACCGTACAAAAATGTAACATTATCGTAGATTGGGTGTTTATACACATGTGTCGCAGCGAGAGGATGATCTTGAAGAGGTCAAAATGTAAATATTTCTCGTGTATCGATTTTATCTCCGACTCGGCTTGCGATTTCGACTGGATTTTCTATGTCTTACACGTACATATTCTAATAAAGAGAAAATCAAACGTTGCTTTCAACGCGACCGCATTTTTTTATTATGAATTTCTTTGCACTGGACCTCGGCTGTATCATCCACTGTATATTATGTAACGCTTGGGCAGTGCGAAACTATAGGTATGCAGCAGACAACGCTACATATAGGCATAGTCGTGCACACGCAGGGGCTCGTCGCGTAAACAAACACAGAAACGCGTGATCTTGACGCCGAAGTTTGCACGCGAGTCTCGGAGGCTCTTTTATATAACATTGACGACAAAACGTTTGAATTCGATCGCTCGGTCGTGTGTTTATATATCCTTGATCGATCTTCGGTCATACGAGAGCGACAACCCCGCAAAGGACGTGAAATAATTCGCGAAATTTTCATCTATGGCTGTTTTTGATTATTCACTTGGTCGGAGCTGTCTAAAATTTACATTACCTCGCTCGCTCTCGCGCGCGTACATAATAATGACGCAACGTACATGCCATTATTTAATTAGACTAAAGGTAGCGTTCGAACGCATATTGGCGCGAATTGCAACGTTTCGGTGCGATTCGCATCAATATTCATAACTTGGCACAATGCACCAACGCATACACAGGGGCGCTGCTGTTATTATTTTTCTCGCGTGTCATTATTGCGTCGAATAAATTTTAATCATCGAAGGAAATTGGAAGGCAATAAACAAGCTTCGCGAACGATTCGATCGAATTGATTCTATTGCCCAACAAATACAATGAAAAAAGAAGGGATGAACATAGTTTAGATTTCGCATCAGGTGGAAACAAAAAGTTCGCGAAACTACAAGTACGATCGTTTATCTTCATTTACTCAAACAGAAAACTATCTAAAAGATTGTCAGTGCCAGGGGTACATTTCGATGTATATTTATCTTCTAAAATAATCGGCCAACTTGTATCTGATGAAAATTAAATTTTAAACAAAGGGAATGAGACATTCTTTTCGAGTTATCGTATAAAGTTTGAAAACTATTCGTGCCGAGGGAAATTAGAAGAGGGCTCGGATCTTGTTGTTCGAGAGGAACAAATCAAGCGCTATAAATAGATAATTATGCTTGTATATCTATGTATCTGCGACGCCCAGTTTCGATGGAACCTCGGGCTTGCGCTGATAAAAGTTTCATGCTTACACGAGAGAGAAAACGGATTTTCAATTATTTTATGTAAGAAAATCTTTGCACGTCGTGAAAAGTCGAGTATATTTATTAAAATATTGAGAATATCTGTAAATCTGTAAAATCTGTAAAATAGCAATAAATTCCACGAATATTTTTAGAGTATGTGCTCATTCAAACTTACTGGAAAACGATTGAAAATTAATGAACGTTAGAAAATGCTAAAATTTGTAGAGATACCTATAAAAGTAGATAAACAAGTGATAATTTGCCTTCAAGTTCCTTCTTGCATATACGCGTTACATTCATTGCCCGTCGGCAATTTGACACTCTTGGTCTGTAAAATTGAGTCATGTATAGCGAGCAAAGAAGAAACAAAAAGTCGAGAAAGATAAAACTTGGAATGTACCAGCGTAATACCAGTGTAATATCATACTTTTTTGTTACGATGAAATGTTTTAAAACCTTCTGTTTTAGTTTTGCTCGTTTAATCGTTAATATATTTTTCAATGCAATTTCTAAAATAACAACGAGAATTTTTAGTAATACTCTTGTTGATCATTTTTCTAGAACGATGAAAAAATTATTTTGAACAAGCAATCAAAAGAAAAAAGTGTATGTCACTAGCACGTACGCAGTTATAATATACGTACAATCATTTGACCCTTTGATTATAAAAATTTCCAAGAAGCGTGTCTAGAGTCATGTTCGCTAATGAAAACAATGAACGACTCTCGCAGACTAGACGAGATGTCAAATTCAATACATATCATAAAAAATTATAGAATTGCAACAAATGCATAACATTAGTACAATTTTATTATAGCAAATAAAAATTGCATCGAAATCAATCGCTCGTCAGAAAGATTTGATGTTTGGAGGGGAGAGTACTACCGTACAGCAGGAGCTCACTTGTAATATGCTTAATTGGGAGGGAGGAGAAATATTACGGAACAACGCGATCATATAATAAGACGAATAGCCGTCGAGATCCTGACCCCCTACCCACGACCGAGTCCCCCTACTTACTCGCAAAAAATCGGCGCCCTCATTGCTTGCGGCGGAGCAAGCATAGATAATCCTCGCGGCGGCCTGATCAGTTTCAAAACGATCGATTTGCTAAGTGCACGCCTCAGCGTATCTCTATATACATTGGAGCGTTGCACGAATTAGCAAACTCATCAGTTTTTGAGAATCTTTGTAAGGAGTTTTTTCTTTTCAATTTGTTTCTGGTGTTCAGTTCGCATACACTGTTTCGTAAAATCGTTTGAGCTAATGATTTTATAATCTGTCTTGACGATTAGAGGTTAACACGTGATATCGCACTTTGTTTTTTTTACTATCAATTGAAAATAAAACTGTGAGTACTTCTTTTTTTTCCACCTTAACGAATGCAATAATTGTCGATCATGGTGTCTTTATGCGATTATTTAAATTTTTTATAAAAAAATAAAACACAAAAGAGAATTCAACGCGATAAAGTTACCAACTGATTGTGAAAAACTTCTTTCATTATCGTATAATTGAATGATTTTAATTTACTTGGAGTGATTCTAACTAAAAGTTAATGACAATTTAAATTTTTTACATACGAACAATAAATTTTATTGGAATATTTTACATAATTTGTTTGAAAGCATGTAGATTTTTTTCGAAAAATTCTCAGAATTAAAATTAAACGTAATCATCAATAGTAACAGTACTAATAATAATTTTATTTAAATATTGTTACAGATTGTAAATCAATTGTAAATCATCATGACTTCCGTACTACGCTCAAAAGCTCCAAGGCCCGCGCCCGAACATGAGATTCTTACAAAGCCTGTAAACTGCGCCTCGAAGCAAGGTGAGTCGCTCGGACGCGCTTGAAAGTCATTTCTTCGTTCGTTATTTTGAAAATATTACCGTATCGTTGCAGGCACATTGGGCACCAAGATCCTGTGTAAATCGAACTACTTCAAACTTACAAACAAGACCGATTGGTGTTTGTATATGTACCGAGTCGATTTCAGCCCCTGCGACGATCGCACTAGAACAAAGAAGGCTTTAATAAGAACGCACAAGGATAAGCTCGGCGCTTATATTTTCGACGGTACCGTGTTGTATACGAGTCATCGTTTGCCGCAGGTAATGTTTTCTTTTGTTTATTTTTTTCTTTCATTGGAATTTGATTTACTTATTTTTTTTTTTTTTTGTTTTCAATTCACAGCCTCTCGAGTTGACATCGGAGTCTCCCTATTCCGATATTGTTCCTGCGCAAGTAGTGCAAATAAAAATCCGTCTCGTTGGCGACTTGCCGATTGGCGATTATCATTATTTGCAATTCTTCAACATCGTAGTTCGAAGATGCTTGGAGCATTTGAAATTGCAATTGGTCGGACGCGACTACTACGATCCAAGCTGTGCGGTAATATACACATTTATCAAACTATTCAATTTCATCGAAATTTTAGCGCAATATAATTACTCGAGTCGTTTTACGTTTGTATTTCAGATCGACGTAAGGGAGTACAAGCTGCAGCTCTGGCCAGGTTACATCACCTCGATTCGTCAGCACGAGAGAGACGTTATGATGTGCGTTGAGACCTCGTTCAAAGTAATGAGGCAGCAAACCCTCTATGATCTCTTGACGGAGTGCAGGGAGAAAAATCCTCGTGATTTCAAGGTAAAGAACATTTATTTATTTTTTGTTTTTTTGTGGTAATTGAAATTCGAACTGACGAATAATTTTCAATTTTCGCAGAACATGTACGCCGATCAAGTGTTGGGCAGCGTTGTATTGACAGATTACAACAATAAAACCTACAAGATCGACGACATCGATTGGGAAAATAATCCCAAGCACACTTTCACGAGCAAGGATGACGAGAAGATCATCTACGCTGATTATTATCGAAATAAATATTCGATCAAACTGCGAGACATGGGACAACCGCTGCTCGTCTCCAGATCCACTGCCCGAGATCGTCGAGCTGGCCAATCGGAACTGATTTATCTGATTCCGGAATTGTGCAGAAGCACCGGTAAGCAACTCTTATACCCTAAAATTTTAAATTCGAAGCACGAACAACCGTTCCTTTTATTTTTCGTTTCACGCAGGTCTCACCGATACGATGCGCAAGGACTTCAAGACCATGCGCGCCCTGGCCGAGCACACCAGGCTGGTCCCGCAGACGCGCATCGAGCGCCTGCTGCAGTTCAATCGACGCCTGTCCACCAACAAGGACATCTCCAACGAGTTCGACGAGTGGAACTTCAAGTTCGAGGACCACCTGACCGACGTGCCGGCGCGCATCATCGAGACCGAAAAGATTCACTTCCACGGCAGGGCCATCACGCCCAAGGTCTCGGGCGACTGGAACTTCGACGCCCAGGAGAACAAGATGTTCGCCGTGTCCAAGCTCAACTCTTGGCACGTGATCGTGCCGTCCAAGCACGTGGACGACGCCAAAGTGAGTACACATTTTTACGTTTTTGACACTTTTAATATACTCGACGATAACAATGATTTTCTTTCTTACTGCAGACCTTCATTCAATCCATCATGAGCTCAGCCGCGGCCATGAACTTCAAGATCGATCGGCCGAAGATCGTGCGCACCGCCGGCGATCGTACCGACGAGTACGTGCACGGCCTGCGCCACACCCTCGACAAGGAGACGCCCCAGCTGATCCTGTGCATCGTGCCCAACGTCAACGGCGATCGTTACGCGGCCATCAAGAAGGAGCTATGCATCACGGCGGCCTGCCCCAGTCAAGTTTTGCAGGCCAAGACGCTGCGACAGAAGAGTCAGGGCATGATGAAGTCCGTCAGCAGCAAGGTAGCGGTGCAGCTGAATTGTAAGATCGGCGGTCATCCCTGGACCGTCGAGCTCAGCCACAAGGTGCCCAACATGATGGTCATCGGATTCGACGTGTGCCACGACAAAGCGAGCACCGACTACGGTACGTATCCAAAACATTCATGCGAAGTTTGAGTTGAAAAAACAATTTCGTCTCATTCGATTTTTTGCTTTCATTTACGCAGGTGCCATGGTCGCCTCGCTGGATCCGCTGCACTACGGCAGCTACTACTCGGCCGTGACCCAGCACAGCAACGGCGAGGAGCTGTCCAACAATATCGCCGTGCACATCAGTCACGCTCTGCACGAGTATCGGCGCAAAAACAACTGCCTGCCCGAGCGCATCCTCGTCTATCGCGACGGCGTGGGCGAGGGCCAGCTGCGCTACGTAGCCGACCATGAGGTCAGCCACATCTACAAGCGCCTGGCCGGACTCTACGGAGGCGAGGAGAAGGTCAAGCTGACCTTCATCATCGTCACCAAGCGCATCAACACGCGCATCTTCCACAACGGCCGCAATCCTCAGCCCGGCACCATCGTCGACGACGTCATCACGTCCCCGCTGAAGTTCGACTTCTTCCTCGTGTCGCAGAACGTGCGCCAGGGCACCGTCTCGCCCACCGCCTACAACATCATTCACAACTCGGGCAATCTCAGCGCCAACGCCCTTCAGAAAATCACCTACAAGTTCTGCCACATGTACTTCAATTTCAGCGGTACCGTGCGGGTGCCAGCGCCCTGCCAGTACGCCCATAAGCTGGCCTTCTTCACGTCCCAAGCGCTGAGAACCCCGGCGCATCAGGCTCTGCGAAATACTTTATACTTCTTGTAATCTATCTCGCATCCCATTTGTTACTTTTTTTTCTTTTAAAATGTTATATAGATCAAATCTGTAATTTTTTTTTTACAAAACAAGCATTCAAATTTTATTTTTGCAACTTTGCGAAAGAATCAAATTTAGTTGGAACTAATGAAAGTTCATAAATGTACTCTAAATCGAGTATAGAATCATATCGTATAAGCAAGCTATAAAATAAATTAGATTTATTTTGCACATGTAAGGATATACGGTGATGTAATATCCAAAAATGCCAATTACTTGTTAAAGATTAAGCATCAAAAGTTTGTTAACAATTTAACAAAGTAATCTGTTATAAATTAAAAAATTTAATTTCCTAATTTTTAATGCTAAGTAAATTAAGTAATATTAAGTAATACCAGTAATACTATTGTAATAGTATTGGTAATTAATAATAAGTTAAATGAATTTGTTAACCAAGAATTGTAATTGTTCTTATTTGACCTAATACTTCTTTTATTTAAAAACTGGAACTTCGTTTTATATAAATAGTGATCAAATTTTCACATATTTTACGATTCATACAACTATATGCATTTCGATGACAAACTTGTAAATTCATGCATTTTTTTTATAAATAAATGATTATTCATCACTATTAACATTGAAATTTAAAGTCATAGAAAATAAATAATGCACTATAAAGCAATAATAATATTTTTCACTGCAATAATATATAAATTTTAACTGTGCTTCCCCGTATACGAGGATACATACTCTCGAAATGTACAAACATATAAAAAAGAGTGAAAAGAATCAGCCGATAAATCAAAGCCAAAGGAATACACATTGCTCGCAAGTTGCGAGTTGAACCAGAAAAAAAACAAACCAGGCTAATACCACGAAAGCAGCAGAAAGAAACTGAATATCGTACGAGCTGGTAAAAGGCAGTAAATATGAAATAGTAGGTTTCATAAAGATGCCAGAGAGAGAGTAAAAAATACGTGTATGCACGCTCGCACGAAGCTCACACGCGTGCGAAGCTTTTGGTATCGGTGAGTTTTAGTGATTCGATTTTCAAAGTATCGGTCCAAAAAACACTTGTGCGGCTGCGATGCAATTTTTGAAAAATCGCTCGATGATAACACGCAAAGGTAATGATTGTTCAAAGGATTTGCCCAGTCTGTATCTATCTATGATTCGTTCAAACTTTTAAAGCGAAAAAGTCGTATAAAATTCTGACGCGCTCGAAGCTTCGAATCTAATCGCGTAGCAAAAATTACTCCACGCTGCAGGTCTTTTAAAGCTCCCGTGAAAGTTTTCTCATTGATGCGATTGCACGACACAAAAAAGAAAATATGCGCAGCCTCGCGCGAGGCCGGGGCGCGGGTCGGAAGTTGTGCAGCCAACTTGAAGGTATCTCGAGCGCGCGCGAGCAACGTAGACATTTTCCCGATCAGCTGCTGCTGGCTCACGCTCACACATACATGTACACCATCGCGAGCGTATAATAGCGAGAAAAACTCGGTAAGTAAGTCCGCGTGTGTCTCGAGAAAGAAACTTCGGTTATATACTCGCATGTAGGAGGAAATTTTAAACGCTCGGATGGCTGAGTTGTTTTTGCCCTTACGATCGTGCGAGGCTATTTTCTGGCCCGTTCGCTTTTCCCTTTTTTTGTATGAAATGTATACCTAAAGGGCCAATAAATCAATGGCTTTTCTGGTTTCTTTTTTAGTCGAATTTCTCTGGCCCTAAACGTTCATCGAAAGGATAAAATATGAAGTACGTTACTTCGTTAAAAACCATTCGCTATCTTATTTCTTCGGTGTTTATCTGGAAAATACCCCGATTCTTTACAATATCTCAACCGTAACACTCATCCATTTTCATCTATTATTTCAAGTATTGTTATAATGTGCACACACATACATACGTAAGCTGCTTGTGTACCACGCGCGCTACATGTACACACGTATGTCCGACGGGTAAACGAAGTTGAGGGGCCGGCGCAAGCATAATAGCTCGGAAATTCCATTCGAACGAAGCCGCGAACATAAACTTGAAACTATAAATTATACCGCAGGACCAACCAAACTAATATTGAAGTAATGCTTGCCCCGCTGCCAAGAGAGTAATATCCTCCTCGACCACCAAGAGATATGACTCGATATGTGCTATAGCGGTGTATCCATACTAGATCTTTCTCGACTCGCTTCCCACGTTGTAGAATCTTCTTTTTTTTATTTAACTCTTTATTAAAGAAGTATTATTCATAGAAAACATAATTATTGCTTATGGAGATTATATTTGTATAATTCTTTTTCAATGATATGTAATGACTTGCTGCCGCTTTGTTTACATGAGTTTGATCAGAATTTGATCTAACAATTTGTAAATGTTATTAAATTTAGCTTAGTTAGTTCGATGTGTATCGTTATTACCGATCATTACTATCAGTCGAGAAATTTCAAGTGTTAAACATGGAATCTAGCGGTGTATTTAACTGTAATGTTAGGTAAATTTTATTTTATAAGAATTTAATTACAAAAATATTATAGCAAAATATTTAATCTTACTAAAAATATTTCAGAGTTAAGGAGGAACCTCATAATGAGTCGTTTCGTGAAGCAATTGACGATACGTCCGATGTTAAAAATATTCAATTCTTCAGAGAATATTCAGTAAGAATTGCTAATCGCCATTTACAAAGAAATCATTTTTTTTGGAAAAATTTAAGATAACTTGATATTTTATTACAGATGCTTCAAAAATGTAACAAATATAATCAGCCGGAACTTGACGAAATGTAAATTGAATTCGAGTGTAAAGACATGAAACTCAGTATGAATTTCTTTGAAAATAAAAAAATTGATGATTATTCTCAAAACATAATTAAAATAGAAAATGAGGGCAGAGTGAAAAAGGAAATGAATTTGATTCCTGATTGTAAAATCAGCGAGAAAAGTAGAAGGACAAGAGATACAAAAAAACTCAGCAGTAACGATAAACTCAAACCCCAAATCGACTCGGTTCATAATGATATAAACTATTCATATGAAACATGTGCAAAGACGTTTGAACGTACAAGATATGTTAATAGGAATGTTAACTCATCGTTCGACGGTGCTATACTTTCCTGCGATACGTCCCTTACAAAAGAGCCCACCCACGAGTGTAGTCTCAACGTTCTCATAGACACGGTGCATAGTGGTGTATAAATGTGATCTATGCAATAAGATATTCAAAACAAAGAAATATATCCGAGCACATATAGGCACAATTCATCATGGTACCAAACATGCATGTGGTATTTGCGGAAAATCATTTTCACGAAAAGACCGTCTTAAATCCCACATCGATTCGCTTCATCGCAAAATCACTCATAAATGTGATATTTGTGAAAAAAATTTTTCAGGCCGATCTAGCCTCCGGAAACACATTAGAGTGTTACATAAGGGGATTATGAACACACGTAAAACATGTGAGACTTGCGGAAAGACGTTTATGAAAATGAATAATCTTAAATTCCATATTGATGCAGTACATATAGGTGTCACGCATGAGTGTAACACATGTAGAAAGATATTCAAATACAAGAAAAGTCTCCGAATCCATATTGATTCGAAGCACAATGGTGTCACACATGCATGTGATGTGTGCGGAAAGATATTCACACTAAAGAGTACTCTTAAAAGACACATAGACTCGTTACATCATTGTATCGCCCGTGCGTGTAATTTCTGCGAAAAAATTTTCAGACAAAAAAGGAACCTCAAAGCTCACATAAAAGCTCATTTAAAAGAATCAATAAATTTTTCAACGAAAAACAAACTTTACTGGTTACTTCGAGTTAATCTACATAATGCATTAAGTTATGTGAGTTCCGCGTTATTTCCATACAAATTGCGGAATTACAATGGCCGCAGAAAATGCATTTTCTGGGTTACTCTTACTTCATTTAGCTTACAATTTAACGCGCTTCGTAATTTGCGATAATCTCTGTTCCCAAGCTGACTACCTTCGCTCGATCATTAATTAAGTTCGCGGGTAACAAATTGGTTTAAAGACGTGGACGGCTATAAACAGTGCAAATATAAATGAAGTATGCACTTTCTAACGTGCGCACAATCCATATACAAGCCCGCTGTGTACGACTCAAAGGCTGTCGCGTTGTTATTAATTTGTAAACTTACGCTCACTGTAGGTATAACAGAACCACACCAATTGCAATAACCAATCATAACACGCTTACTGCGATCTCACCAACAGGCCATCTCTTTTTTAATAGGATACATAAATTTTTAGCTCTTTGGCAAGAATGGGCCATTTTCGCTTCAATTTTTTCAGTCAAATTATGCCGTTTTCTTATTCGTTACTACTGTACTTACTTCGCATAGTTTTTTACATTCCAAGAATCCATTTGAGGCAATCAGTAGAACCAGTGGCGATTTATGGAGCATATTAATCACACCATGACACGGGGACGGCAAATTTCAGAATAAATATTGAAATTTCTTATTGCATGAGCATAAGGATCTATTTACTGGATATATTATAAGTGAACTCGCTGTTGTCTGTCAGGATTTTTTTGGAAGTACAGGGGTCCCTCGTATAATGCGGGGGTTACGTTCCAAACATGTACCGCGTAGTGTGAAACCGCGTTATACGAGACCTTAGTCTTATGGGAAAAGAGGGGTTCCGTTCCTGGTCATGAAAATTAGAGATGAAAAATTTCGTAAATTAAATGAAAATGTACATTTTTTTCAAAGTATACATGTATTTGAGCAGTTTTTTCATATATGTACAACTTTTGTGCGGGGGGTTCTCGGATCTGCCCCAAAATTTAGTATGTTATTTGGGTATGTGAAAATAGCCTTCAGGTAAATTTTTAGCCCGCTAGGGGTCTTAGGGCCCAAATTTGGGCCCCTCGAAGGTCCAAAAATAGCCGTTTTTACCTATTTTTGCGTATTATTCAAATATTTGTAACTCGGGCACCGGTGCGTATTTTTCAACTCTGAGGGTCGCATTTTTTAGGTCAAGACATGTACTTTTTGTAAAAAAATTATGTAGAGCTCGATAGACCAACCCCCGGTTATGGGGGGGCAATGAAGGGGGATGAAAAATCGCAAAATTGACGTTTTTTAGCTTTTTTTGAATTGATGCAGAAGGCGACTGGATTGACGTATTTACTTTTGCAACGTCTCATTTTAAAGGTATTTTTATTACCTTTAAATTGCCGTGCGCAGAATTAAGATTGGTTCAAAAACGACGGAGATAGAGCTGTTTAAAGGTGTCAACATTATGAAAAAAGGCGTTTTTTCGAGATTTCGATAAGCTGTAACTTTTTTCTAGTAACATGAATCTCTTTGAAATTTTATGTGAAAGTAGTTGATTACATGTAGTTTGAAGCCATGTAGGTAAGGATCTTGGTATTTGCCTCTATAACCGAAAACGAGGCCCCCGAAATCCGGCACTTTAGCCCT